TTTGGGAATATGAGAACGTCATATTCTGAAATAATAGAAGTGAATTTATTTCTGTCGTGTTAAAAGTAGAATTTTAAGTGTTAAAAATTGATGAATGTTCTTTTCAAAAGAGAAGTTTAAACCAAAAAGTTTTTGCTTTATAAGACTAAGCACTGAAGTCCTTACAGGGAATAATCAGAAAGCGTAAACCTTGAAAAGCAAGACAAGTAAAATGAAATTTCAAAATCTAGATTGCCGGTCTTGTGCAACGTATTTTTACCCACCGTTTGGTTCCTATAAAACTTATTCTCCTAAATTCATTAATTTTTTAGAAAACCGAAGATATCATTGTATGACTGCTTCTCGAGTCATAACTTAAAAGTCATTTCACGTCAAGCAGGATGCAACTTCCCCGTTCGCTAAAAGCTATATTAGCCAGTCTTTCAGAGTAAACCCTGCCGTCTTAAAGCCTTCTGTACACTCTTTTGTGCTACTTATTATCTTGTGGGTATTTAGCTAGAAATTTATACACGTTATTGTTGGTAACTCGTGCCAGCTGAGCAAGTTTAGAATTCCCAAATAAAAGAATGTAAATTTGCTGCTAACTAACACTTATCGTTTTTAACATCTTAACCACCAGTTGAGGAAGTATTGACCGAAGTAGTGGATTCACTAAAAAGAGATTCATCTCGACGAAGAGACTTGTACAAATTGACCTTGTTCAACAGACAAACTGTCTGTTTTTGCTTTCAACAACCAAATACTTTTTTTTTTTTATTACACAGTATGCATAGCTGAAAAGCAGTAAACAACTAAGAGAAAATCATTAAAAAATAGTAGTAAATTAATAATAGCGATAATAATAATAATAATAATAATAATAATAATAATAAATACAAAAGAATATAACAGTGATGGCAGTTACTGCAATTATTGCAAAATAAGAGATGTATTAAAAAAAAACGGAATACAAGAAAATTTTGGGAGCATAAACTTGAGAGGATGCAAAATGTTCATTTATCTAATCGGCAGATTCTATATTTAAAAACCTCTCCCTCCTCAACGTCAAAAAGAAAAAAAAAAAACAACACACACACCCACACACACACACATAAACACACATACATTAGTATAAGAAAAAAAAAAAGAAAGAGAACAAATAAACCGGTAAAATATACGACAAAACCTATAACTTTGGTAATGATAAGTTACAATAAATCAGTGCAAATGCAATTTACAAATTGGAATAGATTAAGCCAAGTAAAAAAAATGCAGACGAGAAAAAGATGTTGGAAAAAACTTCAAGCAACAATTGTTGGGACGACCAAAGTGAATGAACAAACGATAAACGCATTTTCGTTGTTTAAATGGTCCAACTGTTTGCTGACCATAGCCAATAGTTCAGCTCTGATGGATACTGTCAAATGGTTCCGCTAACCAAATCAAACATGGTAAACGGCTTTTAATATGAGCCTTTTCTTTCATTTCTCCTTAAGAAAAAAAAGTTCAAATCCGTGAATAATTTTAATATAAACCAGCGACAGTAATCCAAGAACAATGATAACTGTAATAATAACAAGGAACAATCGTAAGACATTAGTCAGCAACTGGAATAACTGTTTCTGTAATGTATCGTTGTGGACGACTACAACAACTCATAGATCTAATTTTGTGTTCGTAAAAAAAAAAAAGAATTCAATTATTAGCACCGAGAAAAAATGATAAAGTAAAATAAAATAAGACTTAAAAAAAAAATTAAAGAATTTTTTGAAACTAACTAAAGTGACGAACAAAAGTACTGCAGACAACAGATTGGGGAGTATAAGCAGAAAAAATATAGCAAATGATATTTGAAAAAAAATTTTTTTTCTAACAATAACAACAACATGAGTAAAAAAAAAATAAAGTTGGTAAAAAGTGAAGAAGTGTTTAGGTAACTTTAGAAGAAATTCATTGTTGGATCCATCAATCATAGTGTTACTTAAATATGCCTACAAATTGACCATTTTTTTTCTTTTGCTATTTTTAGTTAACAAACAAATTTTTTTCTGTGTTCCTTTTTTAGCAAACACTTATATACTTAGACACCAAAAACTAAACTGTTCTAAACACTTCAGTTTAAAATTTTCTAGCTTCTTTTTTCTCTTTCTCATTTTCGCTTCAACAACGAAAAGATGAAGCATCCCTACTGGGAAAGAAAAAAGATAATGAAGAATGGAGTTCTTTTTTTTTGTTGTTGTTACTGTTGTTATTGTCTCGTTTTAAAACTCAACAGATTGTCGACAGCACACAGAAAACAATGAAAAACAATACGACACTTCAAAAAAAGTAGTATATCAAAAAAAACAAATGCCGTTTATAAATGCCTAACAAAAGAAAATTGTGGAAATGAGAACTGAGAGAAGAACAAAAACACTGTGTGGTTTCTATGCTATTAATTTCTGACATATTTCCCACTTTTCCTGAACTTGTTTCCTCTACTCAAGCGTCGTTGAAAGCCGTCGTAACTCATGTTCTATAACACATCAAATAATGTAAAAAACGTTATAAAATAGCAGAAAAAAAGTTTGGACACTAACGGTAATACATAGAAGAATATTGAACCCAAATATCATTTATCAAAATAAACGAACTTCTATACATAACACTGCCAGACGCCTTGAACAGTCGACGTCTACAGAGTTTCTGATCAGGTTAAGACCGGGACCCAACGGCGAAGCTCGCCCAACGTCTCTGTTCCCTCCGTATCGCCATTCTCGACATACGCTACTCGTCGTCATACCCCTATCGTCGGTGCCATGCCAAACCATTTTTTCTGGCCTTCACAATGAAAACAAAAGGTTTGAGGAATACACGATTGTGACAATATACTTTTCCGTGTAAATACTTCTCTTTTAACCAGACCAGATACTAGTGATAGTGTTTTGAATACATTAGTGGGATAGTAAAAAGGCAAGAACTATGAACTTAGTATTTAGTCAACCAACTTTATGACCTACCATGTTGGGTCACGGAAAACATTTTTTCCATTGAAGGAATAAATAGGAGTATTGTAAGGTGGAGCACCACGAAGCAGGTCAGTAAACGAATCGTAGATTTTTTGATCGCGAGAGTTGACTACCATGGCATCGTGCTCGCCTTTATCAACAATGGCCCTCATGTGCTGAACAGGTATAATGATGTAACTCGAGGGTAAAAATAAATTCTATTTTTTCGTTTTATTACATTAGAAACCTCAAATAAAATTTTACTTACAATGTAAAAGCGAAATCAAGATCAAAAGTTCAAAAAAAGCAGTTTACTGTACTCCTTCATTAGAAAATTTTGTAAACGATAGAAATAACAAATTCTCAATGTCTGTGTTGTAAACATTAATTTGACTGGCTGATCAAAAAAGGTTATAGAAACAATTTGTGCCATAAATAACTATTAATAAAAAAAATTACAGATAAAAGTGCTTACTTGGACAGTTGCAGATAAAAGTGCCCGGAATGTCATTTGATAACCGGCCCGACGAGATGCCAAATAGCAGGCAAGATCCGCTGCACGAATTCCCGTTACATTATTTGTCAACACTGTTCCATCGTATGGGAAATCCAATGCGATTAAATGGATCTGTAAGCAATCGTTTGTTGAAGCAACTTCACAACTGAATAACATAATACGCAGTAAATTAATACTTTCCTTCGTTCAGAGAAATAAAATAATCTTACACTATTCAATTCAACAAATTTTTTGTAAGCATATGATGCAAGAAAAACATTATAAACATTTTTGAGTGATATGGGACTAGTAGAAGCCTTTTTTTGTTGAAGCAGTATCAAAAGCCAGTTTGATCTTTTTACTGGAAAAATTAGCTACACTTTACTAGTTAATAGAAGAAAAAGGAAATTCAAGTTTGTATCAAACGACAAATTCCCCACCTTACGGTCGCTTCTCGGCGGATGATGACGGTAGACTGAACCTTTATCCGGTATATATGGCAAAGGTCTTAGTCTTTCTTTTTCTACCCCTTCAGGACGTTCCTAGAATATAGTAAACTTTTATAGTCACTAACAAAAACCCATTACTCTTGCCTTTGTTAGGGAATGATATTAGCTTTTGTGTAGTCACTAAAAGCTAGCAATTAAGCTCCTAAGAATCAGTATTTATAATTTTTAGATTTTTTAAAAAATATTTAAAATTATATTTTGCACTTTTTATGCATCCATCTTCTGAATCAGTAGAATTTACCAATTTAATTTTTTGCTTATTTTGACTAGCAAGAAAATTTTAATAGAACGATGTTTCTAACTAATG